CAACGGTGGTGAGAATGGCACAGGACTTGTACATAGTCTCTGCATTGAAGGTACGGTTGTGTATTTCCATTTTCCTTGCCTTGTATGTCTCTATATGAAGGACCCTCTGCTGGAATAATACCATTTGTCTCTCTTAAAGCTCCTTACTTATTTTACCCCAAGAAGAAGGGGTGCTTGACCGATGATTTGGGAGAAAGGAAGGAAAATTCTTGGGTTACCCTACTGCTGTTTTGTATGTACACATTACCTACCTTCAGGTTATGCTTTCACCTTGCTAGCAAGAACCATTAGAAGAGGCCATTGGTTGTTTCTCCCTGACTGTGATTGTTTTGAATAGATTTGTATAAATCGAGTGGATACTTATAGAAAAATTATGCATCGTTAGATCCAAGCCAGTCATGTTTGATTTAGCTGTTTATTACTAACACTGAAATTTTGAACTCCCTCTGTTCACTTCTATCTACTTCTCAGTTGGTCCCAAATTTAGAACAACAACAATAAGTAATTACCGTATATTCTCAAGTATAAGCCAACCCAAATATCAGCCAAGGCACCCAATTTTACCACAAAACCGACATTAAAAATGTGCTGAAAATCACAGCTTATCCACGAGTATGTATGGTAAGCCTTAGTCATCTCAAATCCAACAAAATTATAGATATACATGTTTTCTACTTAACAATATGTTAAACCCCAAATGTATTTAACATAGAGGAATGCAAATTGAATAGCACCCACTTTCATTGATGCTTGTAAAAACAGTAATCAGAATTATAAAAGGGTATATAGCTGTCTCTCTAGGAATGTTTTAACTTCCACTTGCCTTTGAGGGTGCTGTGACTCAAGTTGACGCCTTTGCCCATTGGCCTTTCTCTCTACTGGCTTAAATCCAGTCTCTTGTGATCTGTAATGGGCTCTTCAGCCCCTCCACCACTGAGAGATCCACGTGTGTAGCACATCTGCTGCCTCAATTCTATTTACAGTGTTAGCACCTAGTGTGTTTTTTTTCTGAGAATGAGATGATAAGAAAATGAAAAATCTGAAAGGAGAGCGGAAAGGAAGAGAAGGACATGGAACAGGAGAGGGAGAGGAAACGAACAAAGGATTTATTATCTTGTAACTTCTGAAAAAGTTATGTGATCAGCACCCTTCGTTTGAGAACAGTAGTCGTGGTTATAAGACCGGGTTACACATATGCAGAAGGGAAAAAATAAAGAAGAAACAATGATTATTTAAAAATAATGTAAAACTATATTTGCATTTAAAATCATGTGCCATTGTGATACTTATTAGGGTCTAGGTAGTTTATTGTTGGGGAAATGCTTAAAAAGTGATAATTTTACATGCTGTTGACTTAAGTTTTTATGCTTTTTGTGCGGTAGTTACACAATCTGGTGTCAATTTAAGAGGATTATGAGTGAAGGGGTGGAGTCTGGCCTGTCAATCAAGATATAACCAATGAGGCCTCTGTGTGGGCATGGCCTTTTCCCGAGAATTCTGGGAACTCCTGTTTTTCCTTCTTGGAGGCGGGAGGCCCTTTTCTTTTTTGGCTCACACCCATGGAGACTCTACTTACAAGGCTGACTCCCTGCGAGACATCCCTGAGGAGAAACCACATGGACCTACCCTGATGCAGCCCTGTGAGCTGGAGAAGCCACGTGGGGAACCCTGCCAGCACTGAGATGCTTACAGGGCCTTGGATGCACAAGCTTTCCCACCCACTGGCCTGTGATCTTCCTTCATTTGGCATCATTGCATGTATTTCAGGAGTCAGAAGAGGACTTTATAGATTGGTATCAGACATATGGGTTAATGTTGAACTTAAGGACTTGATCTGAACTGGGCTGGGATGTTTTTTAATATCCAATTGCTCTTGTATATAAACCTTTTTCCTTATACACACGTGTCTGTGAATTTGTTTCTCTTATCTACCAAGACTAACACAAATTGATAGCCAACTACATTGGCCTTTGAAGTCTTAAAATAATGATGCCTTTTTCAACAAAAGTATCTGCTTCGCTTCTATTTCTTGACTTTAGATGAAAGATTTTACGGGATTTTATTATTAAAATGATTTTCTCTTTTTATTTAATCAGGGAGCCCTGATGACATAATGGGTTCTGTGTTGTACTGCAAAACACAAACTTAGCCATTTAAAAGCACCAGCAGCTCAGTAGGAGAAAGACGAGCCTTTCTATTTCAATAGAGTAAACCTCAGAAACCCACCAGGCAAATCGACCCTACCCTGTGGGGTCTCCAATGGCAGCGAGTTGGTGTTTTTGTTTTTTATTTAATCAGCCAACTTTGCTTTAGTTATTGCTTCTAATTGGGATTCGAATCAATACTTGGAGATTACTTTCTACTTTGATATTAAAATAAATATATTACTTTAGTACTAAATAGCAGAATAACACAGTACTTCAATAATACAATGCTTGGGGTTTTATGTATCTATCTGTTTATGAATGCATGTGTTTGATATGTATATATTCATATGCTTGTATCAGAAGGGATATGTTAGCTTTGCTGTAAGAAAGCTTTTCTTGTCATGACCATCAGACCCTTCCGTTGACTTTAGCATATTTCTCATTTGTTCTCGCTCAGACGGTGCAAACTTTAATTGCATTTTTAGCTTGTCTGTAGTAGTTTCCAGCTCCTCACTTTTGTTTTGAAAATTCCTTTTTAAGACTTCATAGTCCTCTGAACAATGATGATCAAGGTAGCTGATTACTTTTTCAACTTCACTGTAATAAAATATATTTTACTTGTAATTAATGAACACAGAAAAAAAAAAGGAAAATATTTACACAATCCATGACAGTCCCAAAGCATTTCCAATAGTCTTCTAGTTCATACATGCATGAGTATATTCTAAACAAATCATATTTAAACCAGTCTCTGGATTCGTGGATGTTTGCAGACAACTTTCTTAGTAAGATACTTGTCTTACTCTAGTTAAGGTACCACATCCAACGTCCAATCTAAATAGTGGCTTCTCAGGGCATCTTCACAGGCCCATTCAATTCAAGGAGAAAGGTCAGCCTAGAGAGTTAGGGAGACTATTCAAACAAGTAATTTGAATAGATTCTTTTTAAGGACATAGGGTAATGGAGAGGGGTTATTATTTGGAAGAAGTGTTAAGAAACTTCAAAAGCACATTTGTGAAAAAAGGTCAGGAAATTGTGCAGAGGATTTTCCTTTATATCATGATGATGTGATTATACATGCAGTGAGGGGAGCAGGGATTGCCCTATGAGGATTTCCACTGGGAAACCTTACCCCATCTGTCCTTCAGATCTCTTTTTAATATCCACTCAAAGGAACAATGTGTGTGTCCCTCAAGGATGCCAAACCTACTGTCTGGTTAGGGTGCAAATCAACAAGGACGGTCTTCTTTGGGCAGTAGTTAGAGAGATGGAATCCCCCTTGAGAAGTGCATAGACCTAGAAGAAAGATATGCTAGGAAACAGGAACTTCAAATTTTTATGTTTTGTTTAATAAAACTTCTATGTTTTATACCACTACATTTAACAGTTTTATTGGCACTTCTTCAACATATCACATAATTCAATCATTTTATCATATCAGGAAGAGCTGTACAATCATTACCACAATCAATTTTAGAACATTTTCTTCTTCCTTGTACTCTTTACTATTTGTGTACTTTAAAAACAATGTGGCATAAAGATATGCAGCACAACATTATCCAATTCAACAACCCTACCTGTATAATGCAGTGCCCTTGACTGTACTCTTCCTGCTATACAACCATTATTGATATCCTTTCACCCTGTATTCTACCACCATTAACATAAACTCGATGTCCCTTAAGCAAAAACCCTTCCTCTTCCACCCATGGAGAAACACAATCAATCACACACACACTCTATATGAGGGAAATGGCTTTTACAGTGGTAGTAGTAGTCAAGTCCAAGGCTGGGCAGGTACCAAGTCTGTGGGTCAAATGTTAAGTCAGAGGCCTCTTTTGACTCATGGAGCTGCATCAGTAGCAGCAACAAGGTGACAGGCTAATGACTGCAGAGGCAAATAAATCCACAGTGGGCAGCTCAGAGGGCAGGCCACGGAAGACCGCCAGAGCAGGCAGGCAGTGTATCAGGCCATTGGCTCAAGTCCGAGGAACCTGTGCTGCATACGCCAGATACAGGATCCAGACCCAGAAAGAAGCAAGCACGTTTTCCATTTGATCTATTTATGTAGAAAGTAGTCCACGCTCCCGGGGAAACTTCTTTTTGGTCGCACAGGGCTGTGCCCTCGATAAATGAGTTGAATTCCACCCTGCTCTGTATAGAACTGCTTGGCTGCTCCTAGTAGATCCCAACTTGTAGTTGATTGCATCATGTTAGATCTTATTATTTCAGATTACTTAACCTCAACTGCCAAATCATTGAGAATCCTGCACCAGCCAAATTGACACAAAACTTAACTATCACAAACAAAATCTAAAGATTGGCACTGTTTTTAAGCTGATTCTAAACAAGTTAAGAGTTATGTTCATAAAGAAACAAAACTTTCATGAATTGTGGTTACAAAATGGTAGTTCATTTTATGAGTTTTTTTCATAAATGGGTCAAATAGCAATTGAAGGTGGTATTAGTTTTTTTTAACTGGTTCTGATAACCCTGTGAACAGGAGAACACTGCTGTGCTCACAATTGTTGGTGTGTTTGAACCTATTTTTGCAGCCACTATCTCAATCCATCTTATTGTGGGTCTTCTTCTTCTTCTTTTTTTGCTTAGTCTTACCTTTACAAAGCATGGCATCATTCTCCAGGGACTGCTCCTTCCAAAGTGCTCCTTCCAGGCAGATTTGCCTTGGAATTGAAGAAACAAAATGAAGTTAAAGATGTTTTTTCTCTGAAATCAATGTGTAGTCTATATTTTGCTTATGGGATTTGTAATGCTACCATACTTTATCATTTTTTTTAGTTTGTATGGACTGTCCTTTTATAATAATATGGATATACTGTATTTCTTCATTAGATAACGATCTTTGCAAGCTATTACCATGCTTTGACAGTTCTGATAAACAAATGGATTGGATAGAAAACTGCCGAAGACAGTACAGCAAAATAATGAAGACCAAACCTGATATAATCAGTGGAACAGGTAATTGCATTGTTTCACTTGCTACTGTTTGTTTTTTGCTGGGAGGAGTATGAAAACTGAATTAAGAGAAGTTAAAGATTCTGAAGTTTAGTATTGGCATATTTGGAAAACGTATGAATCATTTCAGTAAGACCATTGACTTCTAAGGTACTGTGAACCTGAAAATATAAACTTAAAATTTGAGAGATACCTACAAAACTTTTTGAAATATTTAAAGATATTTATGAGCAAACTGGTATAACTTATCACTATTATATTCTGATAGTCCAAATACTTTATGCTCAGTTCAGATTCTTGTTTCATGCTTTGAGACATTTAGAGTTTATATTAAAGCTATTTTACTGAACTAAGTAAAGCATTCTTCACTTTGCCCCAGTATGTATTAAGTTTAGAGTATCATGGAAATATGGGTTTCCTTTCACGATACAATTGAAATTGAGCTATAAGAATGGTTCTGATTTCATTTTGTTATAGTTAATAAAATTCAGGCACATTTTTCAGTTATTTTACATCTATGTACTGGTATAAGTACATAGATGTAAATGTATTTAGATTTATATACTTCACATCTTCACTTGTTTTGACAAGTTTACAGGAATGCCAACTCTATATAATTAATGTCTTGTGCTGAGAATGTTGAAAGCAGACTTTAGAGGGCAGTCAGACAATCATCTAGTACTTTCTTTTATATAAAGGCTTTTATAACTGAGTGAGCACTGTCTTTGTCATAGTTCAAAAAACACACATTCATGAAGTGGACAAGAGAGGCCTCTGGCTTTCTTTGTAGTTCATGGCTCGGTACTCACTTCAGTCCTTTTCAAACCTTTGTTTCCAGAGTCCTCCCAGCAATTCTGCTGTATATTGCTCCCTGATACTTACCTTCCCTCCTCTCTTGCTCCAGCCCTCATGACTTCTAATTGTTCTTGAGGAAAATCTGTTGGAAGCTTGTCTAATGTGGAAGCTTCTCTCTCAGCCTCCAGTGTAATTCTTTCCTTGAAATCCCAATTCCTGTAATTAAAGAGATTTTAATTTGTCACATTGAAGAAGGAAACAAATGCAAGCCTGCAGAGCAGTTTGTGAAACTTCTTGACCAAGCTGTATAGGTATAATTTTACTGTCTAGTCATAGTTGGACACAAATCTAGAAAGAGAGGGATGTAGCCCAAGCCTCTCTGCTTACTACACAGCCTGGAAGAACCATTCAATTGCCCATGAAGGAGGAATTGCCCAGGTGAATTTTAAAACAGAAATTTGGGGTTCTAGTAAATTAGGAGGAGCCCTGAGGGCTAGAGTCAGCTGTTGCCATCAATTGCTCAGTGGGAGAAAGATGGGAGAAACTGGTCAGTGAATGGTCGGTTGTTCTGGAAGCTCTAGGAAATGAATACATTGGGAAAGATTAAAATACCAGGGAAAGGATTCCTTCTAATAATACTTGGTACTAAAATACATTTGCTTGCTCATGCTAAAATTCGACAGCTCATTGATCTCTTTTGGACGCAAAATTTCAAATAAGCAATTATACAATGATATACTACTGCTTATGAGAGCAATATTATTTAAGACTATATATTTTAACAATACAATTTAACATATAAACATAAGAAATGAACATGGATAATAAAATAAGACAAAATACAAGTATTTAAAAAATAAAATGTATACAAAAAAGATAGCCCTCAATGAAAAAGGAATTAATTTTGTAATAAGAAAACATAAATATACTCTACTTTTTACTTTTGTAAGTAACTTGAGTTTATGGATGGCTTCAAAGAGTATGTGTACCCTTTGAAATCAGACACAAATTTTGGGTATAAATTTAGGTGTACACATATGTGTGTACATATGTGTGTGTGTGTGCATTTTGTGAAAGGACAGAGAAAGAGGGTTAGTGTTTGTGAACCCCAGATAAAAGTCAGGAAGTAGTGTGTTATTGATTTGAATGCTTCTAATGAATACTAATGGATTCATTAGTAAACTTATCTAGATTAAATTCAAGGTAAAATTGACTAATAAATTATTCTAGAGAAAGTTGTGCTTCTACTATTGGCATTCTGTGTAATATTTATAATCAATAATAATTCAAATTATATCACATTATATTGAAAATACATAGAAGTGCTTCAAAAATATAAAAGATAACAACAATAATAGTAATGGTAGAAAAGTATTGCTGTGCCATTAGGATTTAAGGTTCCTAGAACTTCATAATCAGTAGTTAATGTTGAACTTTGTAATCTGATCATATTTTTAAAAGATAACAGCACCCAGTCCATTTTTAATTTCCAATTTCCCGATCATGTTATATTTAAAATCTCCACGAGCGGGCAGTCAAGGAGGCAGGGTGGAGTGCTGGTGGCATCATGGTTATGCATCGGACTGCTACCCACAAAGTCAGTGGTTTGCAACCAGCAGCCACTCCAGGAAATAAAGATGAGGGTCACCGTGAGTCAGAATCAACTCAGTAGCAGGGAGTTGAGGAGAGAGTTAAGACTTCCCCCATCATCCAATAGAAACTAGGCCACCCATCCGTGGAAAGCAGGAGAGCAATAATGTGGTATTTCTGTCCCTCCTATTAAAGATGCTCTTAGGAGAAAGGTAATGCAGAGCCAGAACCCCCACAATCACTCAGCAGTACAGAGAAGCGCTCTTCCCAACTATCACAATGTCCGCGGAAGGAACCTGGACGTCCAGCCCCCCTGACCACAATGAGACATTGCTTCCCAAACTCTGCTGAGGCAGCTGATGCTGAATATTTAAATACACTCTGGAACAATATGTTTAATGTCCACATTTTAATTTAAAATCATTCATAGATAGAACCAGGAACATCATAATCTCAAAGAGTAAAGATAATAGATGCCAATACTGAGATAACGAAGAATGATCTCACAAGGGTTTTAAAGCAACTATCATAAAACATGCTTTATAATTGCATACATTCTTGAAACAAATTTTAAAATGAAAAGTGTCAGAAAAGTAATAGGAGGTATAAAGAATACCAAAAAGGAAACTTTAGAACTAAAAAATTGGGTAGCCCAAATAAAAACCTCAGTAGATAGATCAACAGCAGACTGGAGGGAATATTTGAAATCAAAATATGAAGTAGCACACTAGAAATTACTCAATATGAATATTACTCAACAGGTTAACATTAGTAAAATATTTTTTAAAGTGAGTTTCAAAAGTGAATAGATGAGATATTTTGAAGTTTCAAAAACTTTGAACTTCCTAATTTTTAAAATTTGATTTATTTTTTAAATTAGGAGTTAATACATATATCGTATCATTCCATAGTTCAGTCACATCAAGAAGTATTGTACAATTGCTACCACTATCAGTTTCCCAACATTCTTTTCCTTCCTGGACTCCTTGACATCATTTCCCTTTTACCCCCCCCCAATCACTGTAACCCCTGCCCCCTCTCAGAAACACGTGTTCTACTTACAGTCCTTACAGGTTCACCACTTCTGGTTTCATATACCAGAAAACAAAAAACACAAATTCAAGAGGGTGACCCCAATGACATAACACAGCTGAGATAAACTCTAATATGAACAAACAACAAATAAAATACAGAAGAACTCCCAGCTATTGTTAAGGTAAGGTAATAGGAGTAAGTAAAAATTATGCCCAGGCATTCCAACACAATCTGCCTTCTGCTTTCCTGATAGCAGAAACCTCATGTTCCTATATTAGCACAGAAACAGTGTAAATGTTGGTTTTCGAATCCATTAACGTCATAGTCCCCTTCAAGAGAACAAACCCAATCCAGACTCACTGCTATCGAGTCAATGAGACTCGGGCGGGGTAGAACTGCCTTCTTTGAGCTTTTGAGACTGTAACAGTTTATGGGAGTAGAAAGCTGGTCTTTCTCCAGAGGAGCACCGTAACCTCGTGGACTGCAAAGAGCAAGCTCTATGCCAATAGAGGGGATGCCAGAAGGGAAATGGCCTATAATTTTAAATCCCTTATAGAAACTCAAGGCTTGTCACTTAAAAGAAAAACTCCCACCTTAGACAAACCCGTCTTGTTTATTTTAATTTCTAGGTATACTGGGCTATGCATTGGGCTGCTAACTGCAAGATCAGCAGCTCCAAAACCACAGCTGCTCTGTGGGGGAAAGAAGTGGCTTCCTCCCCCATAAAGATTTACAATCTCAGAACCCCCCAGGGGCAGTTTGACCTTGTCTTGTAGGGTTGACTCAATGACAGTGAGTAAGCATCCTAGAGATAGTTTATTTTTAAAGTTGAAAAGGCTTTCATGATGTGAGTTAATTTCCTTGAATTATAGATGATGGAATATTCAGTCAATTGGGAATGAATGAGGCTGTTGATCATACGGAGATAAACAGCCACTGTAGTAATTATGCAGTCCTGCTGCACTTATAGTTGGGTAGAGAGAGGTGCTAATGAAATTGGAGTCATGGGTTCAACTACCAAATGTTAACATCGTTCCATGATTATAGCTTCTATCTCAAATGATTCCGTTCACATAGATCACAGTTAATATCCTAAATATCATTGGGTGCAGTTTTACAAGAGGAATAAAGCTTACTCATTAGGCATATAAACCTATCAGTGACTCTATAGATACACTGTATTATTTCTCAAAGAGTATAGCCCTATAAATAATGCACAAACAGATAATGGATAGAAATGACAAAATTATGTTAATAATTTCAGGTTGTACTACATGCTTTTATTAATTCAGGCATGCATACCTATGTACACTATGCATGTCTCAGAAGTGAATTTTGTCCTATTCACCCTATCACTTATTTTTTTTAACATTTATTTTTTATTATATTTGTATAATATAGGTATAAGCCATGGTCAAGAAGTCATGGATAGAGCTTGGCAGTACCTTGGTAATAACAAAATAACCAATCAAAACTGTAAATTTGTTTTGGGACAATTCCAACCGAGACATGAGAGTGGTAGAGTTCCTAATAACTGAACTACACTGTAGGTACATTCTGCTAGAGATAGGAGGAGGTTTGAGTAAGAGAGCAGTGCATGGGGCTGCATAGGCTGGTTCAACAGCAGGGGGTGCTGTTACCAGCATTTTCCCAGGTCGCAGGGTTCCATGGCAGGATGGTTAGGTACGGATGTGCACTGCTCTGCCTCTGTGGGGCTCACAGTCTGCCTCATATCATTTGCCTCATATCATCTTGGCCCGTCTGTGCCCTAGGCTCTCACACTCACACCAGGGCATTTGCACAGTGAGAAACTCAAATGGCCCAAGCATAGAACCTGACCAGCCTAAGTGGCCTCCAGTTTCTTGCCGGTACAAACCTACTAACCTCCTGGTCCAGGGCAGGCTGCAGTGCTAAGGTTTTCTTCAGAGCAGGAAGAGTTATTTCTTCCTGCATTGGAGAACAAGGAAAGATTCAAAATGGAGATGGGCTACTTTAGAACTCCAGGGCAGACTGAGGGTGGTGTGCTTCTGGTACCCAAACCTCCTTGTCAGTGAGCACCAAAAAAAACATAACATTAAATTCATTGACTAGAGAGAAATATCAAAACTGAAGTCATCAATGTGTACAAATCTATTGGTATGGCATGTTTATAAAAATCACAAATGGATTTCATAGTGCTCAAAAACATCTAAAGCATATTTGCATGTAGTACAGTATTCAATTGCAAGGGAAAAAAAGAAAAATGACTTCTATATTGCATATTAATTATAATCCACCTGGTTATATCCATTCTGGGAGGATGATAGGTAAAAAACGGTGTTATCTATATGATAACTATGTTATTTATATGATAGGTAAAAAACTGTTATCTATAGGGCATTAACAAACCAACCTGAAAAGAAGATAATTTGGTCACTTCTATGCTACAAGGCCAACTTGACTTTTGATCTGGCTGCCTTTAATAGCTACCCTCAGTTTGAGTACATGAAACCTGTAAGATGTGCTTGCTTTGAAAAGGACATGAGCTATGAGATGATCCTGATGTTGGAGTCTACCTTCCTCCCTCCCACTCTGTCTGCGTGAACAATGATAGTAAGATAGTACAGTCTAATTAGTGATAATTGTCTTTGATGTAAATCATTTAGCAAATTCTAAAGTAATCCTGAGAGGATCTAAAGATAATAGATGATTCTTTATCAGTTTTACATTCAATAGGTTCTCAGTGAAGCTATTAAAATTTAATTTAAATCTGAAGTGTCATTATGAATACCAAAATGTGTGTTTTGATTGGATCCCCATCAAGTGTAACTGTGAAGAAGTTCAGATAACTTGTCTTCTGATCTGTGATATGTGAATTTAGTATTAAGCATTGTTCTTGACTATTTCTATCCTGATTCTGTTTGTCACAGCTTTGGCCGAATTACTTGAGAAATATGTGTTTCATCTTTCTGAAACTTCATCTGAATGCTACTTCCCTTCAGTGGAATATTCAGGTACCCTTAAGCAATTATGTATTTTCAGAAGTCAGTGGCCAAAGAGGTCATTTCCCCCCCAAAGTGTGTAATTACATTGCAAATATGCACAAATTTATCCTCGCTTGAAAGGCTCTCACATGGAGTCACCTTTGTTACAGACACCTGTCTCTTCTCCCTGCTGTGCTTGAGCTTCACGCAACACTGACTGTTCCTTGAATATTTGGTGTCTGTTTGTTTGTAATTCTGTCTACTAAGAATCCTAAGCAATTCTGATTGCGTACAATAACCCTACTAATCTCACCTTCCTACATGTTTTTTTGTCTGTTCTCATGTATTGATGACTTCGGAATGTATGCCAGTTATCTACTATAAGCTTCAATCTCCACAAGATAGCATTGGTGGGTGACTCATTAGCAGAATTATCACCTTCCATGCAGGAGACCCTGGTTCAATACCTGGCCAGTACATTTCTAGTACAGCCACCCCTTGTCTGTCAACAGAAGCCAATGAATGCCTTGATGATCTATTTTGACAAACCAGCCATTAAAAAAAAAAAATCCTCTGAATTACAAGGGTATGATCCACAACTGATCTTGGTACTGTCCCAGGACCAGGCAGAATTTCATTCTTTTGTGTATGAGTTGCTATGGGCCAAGGGCTGACTCTATGGCAGTTAGGAACAACAAGAACAAGTAAACATCACCTGAATGTACAGCAGAACCTCCCAAACTCAAATTGTCCAAATGGGACCTCAGTACATCTTACCATATTGATACATACTCCATCAAGGTTTGTCTGTCTGGAAAGGCAAAGTAATCATATACCATCCATTCCAAGGTAGAAATGTAGGAATAGCTATGACTTACTTGAGTCAACATTTTACTCCTGATCACTGCATCCTATATATCCATCTCTCCTGTTTATTGTGTAAGTTCAGTCTGCCATCAACTCTTGTCTAAGATTTCACAATGGCTGTAGTGGGCTGCACACTAATGACTAAGTCAGTGGTTCAAATCCACCAGCTACTCCCTGGGAGAAAGTGAGAGTGTCAACTCCTATTAAGATTTGTAGTCTCAGAAAGTCACAGGGGGAGTTTTGCCCTATCTTGTAAGGCCAATCACTAAGTTGAAATCGACTCAATGACAGTGAGAGTGAGACTGAACTTTGAAGTGCAGATCTGACCCAGTCATCTCCTATGCATAAGATCACCACTGACAACTACATAAAATCTAAGCTTCTTGCCCTGGTACCCAATGTCTGGCCTGAAATTATCCCATTGTCCCATCCTTTATCTCTGGCATCATTGCTTTCCTCTCTAGTTTTTACATATGTTTTTAGGAACACTGAAATATTTGCAACACTGCCCCCATCTACATATTCATTTACTTATTCAACAAATATATATTATTTACCTACTATACCTATTGATAAGGAGTTCTGGTTTCATAGTGGGTTATATGTTCAGCTGCTAACACAATGTTAGGCAGTTTAAAGCCACCAGCTGCTCTGAAAGAGAAAGATGAAGCTTTCTACTCGCATAAAGATTTACAGTCTTGGAAACCCACAGGGCACTTCTACTCTGCCCTGTAAGGGTCCCCATGAGTCCACAGACTCAATGGCTGTGAGTTTAGTTTTGTTTGTAAAATGTACTACTTTTCTAGGCACTGGAACTTGGCAGCGAACAAAAGAAGGGGACCCAAATCTTGCTCTCATTGACTTGGTGAGAAGGGTTTTCAAAGTCATTTCAGGGTTAGGAACATAGGATTGATATGCTTTGATTTACAATTTTTAAAGATCAGTAGGACTCTCAGGTTAAACAAGACCTAAGGGATGGCAAAAGAAAAGGCAAGAAGAAGATGAGTTAGACTGTTAACAATCGCCCAGATGGAAAGGGGTGATGGTTTAGATGAGCGAGTCAGCAGTTGAGTGTGTGAGAAGTGCTTGTATTCAAGATATACTTTGAAGAAAGAGCAAACAGAATTGAGTAATAGACGAATTATGGGGTGTGAGAAAAGGTGAGGAATCAAAGAAGACTCTAAGCAATTGGTCTGAGCAGCTAGATTAGTGGTGCTCAACCTTCCTAATGCTGCGACCCTTTAATACAGTTCCTCATGTTGTGGTGACCCCCAACCATAAATTATTTTTGTTGATGCTTCATAACTGTCATTTTGCTTACTGTTATGAATTAGGCAACCCCTGTGAAAGGGTCCTTGGACCCCCCCAAGGGGTTGGGACCCACAGGTTGAGAACTGCTGAGCTAGATGGATATAATTGCCATGTAATGAAATGGAGGAGAATGGGGAAGGATAGGTTTGAGGGATAGGGTAGGGCTAACTCACATATATTTCACATAGTAGTTAGATATTTATGTAAAAATGGTTTGTAGATGCTGTATATATTAATCTCTATTATGGGTAAAACTGGAAATACAAATTACTAAATCATCAGTTTGCTATATAATGCCAACAGCACATTTCATCACCATTTTCCCCTCATATTCTGGCATATCCCAGCCTTGCCATACTCTGACAGTTCTATAGGGTAGTTTCTTACCCATGACTATATATTGTACACTGAGAATAACAGTTTCAATTAGTGTTTGCAAATAAAATAAAAAACAATAAAGGAGGAGGCCTTTATTTACTGTACTAAGGAGTTTACTCTTAATTTAATGGACTAGAGAGTAAACCATTTTAGAGTTCTGAGCAGAAGCTTTGTTTGATTCATATTAGGTAAGGAAGATTCACCTTGTCACTGTGGAAATGATAAATTGGAATGCACAGCTGAAATCTGTCACAGGGCAACTGTCTGATACATTGGGGCAAGGAGCACGAAGGGGTAAAAGTGGTGCGGACCCACTGAGTTACAGCAAAAGATAATGACAAGTAGCTCCCCCTCTCCCCTGGAATGGTGTCATGATTTTGCCATTTGCTGAAGGAACAATCAGACAAATATATGCCATCTATTCAAACTATGTAGTATATAAGTCATATTTTCATACAAAGAACTAAGGGAAAATATATATTTCCAATCTGACACAGCGTGTCTTTTTAGCTTTTTTTCTTTTCTATCACTGCACAAGCATTTACTGAAAACCAACATATTGAACCTTTGCTTCTACTGTTTTTTATTCTGAATGGAGTCTTTCTCACCAATGACACCACATGAGAACATGCAGTGCAAGCGTGACGTTTCAGCTGGAATTATACCTTCCCTCCTACTTTTAAGCAGAGGAGCTTCACCCCTATACATCTGTTGCATTTGATTGAACTATATTTTTGGTGTTTATGATATCTTATATGATAAATTTAAATTATTCCACTAGGTTTCAAACTTCTTTGAACCTTTAATGCATTTGATGTGTGTTTATTGAATTAGAGATGCATACCGTTATACAGAGCGTCACTATTCTCACAAATATATTTCTGAAACCATTCGAAGTATTTTGATGTAAGTAAACACAGGAACATATATCAGTTATTTGTACATAGTGACCTCTAATGTAAATGTTGATAAGGAATAAGAATATTAGGAGAATATGAAAACATAAGATTGCATTAAACAAAAGCTAGGTAAAGAATGGATATCTATAGAGAATCTCCTGTAAGTCAGGTATTGTGCTGAAGCACTTCATATAATTTGTATCATTCAATTCTAATCCCTTTTAAAATGATGATTCAGAGCCCTAGAAGGAAAACAGAAACATTGGGAGAAAACTTTGAAGAAAAACATTTGTGAAGAAAATTATTATACTCTATGAATGAACATGAAAATGCATCTGAAAAACATGTAGGAATTAATGACTAAGTATGTAAGACAGAGAGTGAGTGAATGAGAAGTAATAAGCAAGGAGATTTGCATGGCCACAGTAGGTAGATCTTTTTGCCTTAAGTATACTCATCTCTACATTCTACACCAATATTTGGAAAGTTGTTCTGCTTGGTCATGTTTTCTGCAGCTAATAAACATAAAAGACTAAAATTATGTTATATGCATTGCTTAAAGCCTCAATAAAACCGATTGCTCAGCCCATGTACATTTAGCGCCCTCTGTTACATTTCTACATTATGCCAAGCAAGATCTCAGATGTTGCCTTTATCGAGCATGCTAACTGGGCAGACAAACCCTAAATGTGAATTTAAATTCCTTAAAGGCTGCAGCTGAACAGCTATTGACTGGAGTGTTACGAGTACAGACGAAAGTAAAGCAGCTCCCTATTGATTTATTAATATGTATTATTGTGATACGTTGAGCTCATTGCTGATATTGTTTTCCTCCCAAGAGTATAGCCATCTTCATTTATTATCATTTATCTCTTTGGCTGGTGGAATAATGATTTGCTATTATAAAATTTCTCTAAATTTACTTTAAATAAACAAAAGCCATGTTTTGGTTTAAAAGATGTTTCAAAGCAAATGCTGGGTAGATATAGTCGATGTCTTTTCATGTTTCTTGAAATGAGAAATTGATTGTCTTTTAAAAAATGACAGCTTTCTATACCCTAAGGTCGCTGAAATTAGAATAACACAATCATCCATCTGTTGTTAGTTCCCTCAGGATTTTAATCCATTATAAAATTTGCAAATCTGGAAAAATCAAATTACTTTGGCTGTTTATCCCCTTAAAGAAAGAAGGGAAGAACAAACAGATTAAGTTCTGCACATTTTCAGTTTGTAAATCCATACAGGTATCTTTCCAAGTCTTAACAGATGTTAACTTTTGTCAGCTCAATTCCCTGGAACAAGTTGGAGATTTTTTTCTTCTACTGTAATTGCTTCTTTGAAATGATAAATTAAGTAGCCCTATCAGGGGAGTCGATATGTTAATTTTATCTCTTTTTTCCCCTCCACCATGCTAGTTAATCAAAAGGTTGGAAAAATGTTAGAAAATGTTACATCTTCTCATATTTATTTGACTATTAAAATGTAACTGTGTTCTTTTATATTTGTGTGTGTATAAGCATCAATGTATTTTATACTTCTTTGTACATACCTTGCATTTATAGATTATGGTTATGA